GTGCAGCTAATATAATACTTACAGGGGAGTGATGTTATACTTCATGGTCACATGTTTTATATATATATATATATATATATATATATATATATATATATATATATATATATATATGTGTGTGTGTGTGTGTGTGTGTGTGTGTGCGCGCGCGCGCAGGGTCTTTTTCCAAATTAATAAGTGCATGGAATTAAAATTTTGATAGCTTTTTAAGATTAAATATTGAGATTTAAAGCAAAGGTGACTATAAAAAGCTAAAAATTAATATATTTAGGAAAAGCAGATTGAGCAAAGCAACAGCCCAATTGTGTACAAAGGTTCAATAAAGCCTAAAAATACTATCTGTTAAGCAAAAATAAAATGGTAATATCATAATAAATAAATAAATAAAAATAATATAAAAATAAAAATAAAATGATAATATTGGAAATAAAGAAAGCTAAGCATCAAAAACCAATAGTAACACTCCTTGCCAAATGTGATAGAATCCCTCTTATTCTAAAAATTCCATAGTTTCCTTATAATAAATCTGTAAAGTATAATTAATTTGCATTTTTATTTTTTGTAATAGTAAAATTGATTTTCCATTTTATAAGTATAAGTTTACATACATACATACATATATACATACAGCTTTATGACCCATTCTGCAGAATATGAGTCACCCATCTTTTCTTTTTAACCCTAAATAAACTATAGCCAAAAAGAGAGTTCTCACTTTTATTTATATATATATATATATATATATATATATATAAAGAAATTAATAATGTGCAATTTCAATCAATAAAATCTTAAATAGTGTAAATTATTGATTACAATAGAAAAAATCACGTGCATTCCACGTGGTAATCACGTGCATTGCACGTGGTACTAACTAGTACTATTAAAGATTGCAAATATCATCTTTGTATAATTGCAGCAATTTCAAATGAAACAAAGTAATTAAATGAAGAAAGGTACATTTTTTCTTCACTAGAGTGTTGTTCTCTGAGAATTTCAGTAGAGGGGGAGAGGTTTCGTGCTTTACGGTGCTGCCATTGTTCCTCTCGAACACATAATCATGAAGCTCTACAGGATAATCATAATCAAGAACGATCAACTAATCGTGTGTATATATATATATATATATATATATATATATATATATATATGGTTGTTGTTGTAAATATTATACAATGTCTCGTAAATATGTGTACATCATTTAATATATTAGTATTTTAATGAAATTTAAAAATTCTTACGATTTTCGATTCGGTTTACGATTTGATAACTATGATTACAGATATATTGCACTAGGTAAACTATTAAATTCCCTTTTTTTTTTATAAATATGTGTATATGAAATGACCTTCACTATCCAAACATGTTGTAGAATATGCCTACACGGCAAAAGTGACGGAGAAGAGTGATGTGTATAGCTTCGGTGTAGTATTGCTTGAGCTACTTACCGGTATAAAGCGAAACGACCCATTGTTTTGGAGCAAATTGAAATATTGTAAAGTGGGTAATAAAAAAATTTCATTATTATCTACAACACAAGGAAGTGTGGATTATAAGGAGATCGAAGAAGTGGACTGTTTGGATCAGCTGATAGATAATCGAATGAACAAAGAAATAATCGAAGATGAAGAATTGCATAATGTTATGAATGTTGCTATGTTATGCACTACCGATTCCCCGACCTGCAGGCCCTCCGTGACTAGGGTTCTTGAATTCTTAGAGGTTAGTTAGTCGGTTACACGACTAGTTATTACATTAGAATTTTTTTTTACTGTTTACTGTATGGCCCTAAAGCTTTTCAACTTTATCGAGATCGGACATTTAAACCAGCAAACTGAAAGTTAGTTATCATAGTTAATGTTATTGTATATATTCGTCGTAGATTGTTTTGTGCTAACTGAACTTTCGAATTTTACCTATGTATTTGTTGACAAGGATTTTTAGCTCATAAAATCTTGAGCTTTTATGCAACTAGTCAAAATCTTGCAATTCTTGTTCAATAGAAAGTCTCTCTGGTCTTATACTAGTAATGGGGTTGAGAAATTGATTTTTTTCAACAGAAAATTGAATTAAATTGAAGGTAAGAAAAATCCATCCAATAAAAAAATCGAGAATTGTTATGAATTTCGAAGAATTTGAAGGAAAACTTTGAGTTGGGGATTTGAAGGCAAACTTTGTAAATTATCTTCGATTTTAACTCATAATTTGAACCCCGATTGTATGAAATTTTCTACGCGATTTTGAATTCTAAAATTTAAATGAAGAAATTTGTCATGTACCCAGAAAATCTGAATTGAGAATTGAAGAAGAAGAGGTTTGAAGAATAAAATTAGGTCTCCAATCAAGTAATTTAATGTTGGCTAAATGACATCGTTGGATACGTGAAATAAGGATTTTATATCAAGGCGTGAATGAATTAGGGCTGAGTATTGAATTAGAGCCCAACCGAAGGATATAGACATCAGTGTAGGGATGATTCTCTCTCTCTGACATGGGCATTGACTGGTTTTCGGCCCGGAACTGATCCGTTGACCAGTGAATCGGTACCAGAACCGTGAACCGGCTCGTGTCCTTCGGGACGGGGCCGGTTCTTGAATAATGTGAACCGTGAACCGCCGGTTCGGTTCGGCGGTTCACACGGATTTAAAATTTCCTATTTAAAAGTAATTCTTTTAATTTATTTTTCATCAAGTATTTCAAAATCTAAAATATTTGAACATTAAGTATTTAACACTTTAAATAAAAATATATTTTGAACATTAAGTATTTAAAAATCTAAAATATTGAATATAATTGGCGTACCAACAGTTTCGTTAATCTTAACCTGCACATTCACACCATTAAAAAAAATTGCAATTCCAACATTTATATTAAATAAATTGTCGACATATGATAACTCAAATAATAACATCAACAACAACAAACCTTCAACTTCATAATTTCCTTGTTCAAATCAACATTCATTTTATCAACAGTTAGCACTAGTTTCTTTATACATGGCCTTTTAGCCATAGTAATAAGGGATGGCAATATTACCTGACCCGGCGACAAGCTGGCGGAGGGTGCGAATGCGTTTCAGCGGACCCCGGGCCTTAGGGTTTTAAGTTGGGAGAACAAACTCCCGGCTGCCATGCTCTTGCTGATGAGGATGCGGCTGTTCTTAAGCCCCAGATATCCGCACGAAGAGACGCTTAGGAGGTACCACGTGGCAACCGGTCTAACGGTGTGTTCGTATCTCGAGAGATATAGTTTCTTCAACCGTACTAAAGGTATATTTTTTTTGAGTTTTAAAATAATTTGTCTTAATTAGTAGTAATTTAATTTCCGTAATCAAAGTTAAATATTTGTACGGATGCTGGTGGGTTAATCCAACTGAATCACGTGGGATCACGTGATTTGGGTTTGGCAGCTAACGCTGCCTTCGTGGCTTCTGTCTTCGGCGATTACTTGAACGCCACCGGCGCTCCGGGGTGGTACTGCGGCGGCGACTTTTTGAGGACTGACGTTCTCAAACAGTTCGCCACTTCTCAGTTAATTACTCTATTGCCCTCTCTCTCTCTCATTTCACATCAATTTTACATCATCGTTGTTTATCTTCTGATCGAATTTTTGTTATTTGAAAAAAAAAAAGATGGAGTATATTTTGGGAGCGAATCCGATGAACACAAGCTACGTGGTGGGTTACGGGGCGAAATTCCCGAGACAAGTGTACCACCGCGGCGCATCCATCCCTCCGAACACGAACGATTCCTGCAGAGAGGGGTTTAGGTGGTTGTACGCCGAGACGCCAAATCCGAACAACATCACCGGCGCAATGGTCGGCGGTCCAGACCGATTTGATAAATTCGAAGACGTACGGAGCAATTTCAACTACACAGAGCCCTCGTTGGCGGCGAACGCCGGGCTGGTTGCTGCCCTAGTCTCACTCACATCCAGCAGCGGCTTTGGTGTCGAGAAGAACGCCATTTTCTCTTATATTACGCCGCTGTATCGCAACAGCCCCACGCCGTCACCGCCGTGGAAACCTTAGATCTACATTTTCTCAACACTAATTTTTTTCTTTTTTTTAATTTAATATATATGTGTGGTTATGGATCTCAATTACTATTTAGCCAGCTGAATTTTGGTTTCTTTTGTTGCCTATAAGTAATTGCTTTCGAAACCCTCGTTGCTTTATTCGCTGTTTGATTCTTGGATATCTCTGTTTTTTTCTATTGTCAACCATTGGCGGCGTCTTTATTTGTCGCTTTTGTGTTTCGTGCGCCGTTTTATGGGATTGCAACTGATTATTGGAATATAGATTGCATTTAACTGAGAATTTTGATGTGTCATTTGTGCAGGATGCGATTCACAGGGTGGTCTAATGTACATGGTGATGGATCGATCTTCAATCGGTGGGTAGAAAACTTTATTTATGTTTTATTTATTTGCATATCTATTTTTTTGGTGTTATATTTGTGGCTCGTTTTTCTTTGGTTGAGATTCGGTTGTGCGGCTGCGTGTTCTTTACGTACTGAAGTTTTTGCTTCTTCGTTGTGCTAGGTACCATGTATCTGGTTTCTTTTGCGTGCACGTATGAATGTCCTTTGCAACGCTGACATGTTTTTTGATTTCGTTCGTGTTCAGTGCATTCATTTGCTTGTTTCGGTTACATAGTTGACATTGGCAGATTCATTTCTTTTCTATCTCCCTCTGTTTTCTCGAGGTGAAAGTGGTTTACAAGTTAATGTTGTTGCGTATTTTCTTGCTGTCTTTTGATAGTCGGGCAAATTTAATTGTATGTTCTTTGATTTCCACCGTAACAACGTTTATTCGGCGGCGGCTTTCGTGTCGCAAATATCACCGTACGCATTATAGCAATTCCCTCCAACCGCAATCTTTCCTGATCCGTCGCCCACAATTTGCCTACCTTCCATCTTATTAACTGCACTCATTCAAAACATTCAAATCGAATTAGATATCCAATTATGTATCTATATATTATGGCTGAAAGTCAGATGGATTAGATCGTAAACTGGCCTTTCAGTAAACTTTCATTTTTTTCTTTTTTGGAATTGTAGTTCAAAATATTCGAAATTTAAGTGGTACTTTATGTAATTTTGAAAAGAAAAAAAAAACTTAAATAATTGTGTCTTTGTTTCATGACATAAATATAAAATATTTTTTTAATAAAATATTTTGAAAATAATTGGAAAATTATATTTTGCTATCAATATTGGATAGAAAAACAAAATTTCTAGAAATAAATAAATATTATATATATATATATATATATATATATATATATATATATATATATATATATATATATATATATATATATATATATATATATATATATATATATATATATATATATATATATATATATATATATATATATATATATATATATATATATATATATATATATATATATATATATATATATATATATATATATATATATATATATATATATATATATATATATATATATATATATATATATATATATATATATATATATATATATATATATATATATATATATATATATATATATATATATATATATACATCTTGATTGATGAAAATCAAACGTTCTTAATGATTAGATAAATTGAGTAGAAATATCATGTGGAGTACGGCGATATATTCCGATTTACAGCCGTTCCACACAGGATCAACGAGAAAGAACAAAAATCATAAGTTTTTGTTGAACAAGGGAAAGGAATTTACCGAAGGCGACGAAAAAGAGGGCAACGAGAATAAACGAGATTTTAGCCATGCTTTCGTATAATTGCAGAACTTTTGTTTGTCTGTAGAACTATGATAATATTTTTGAATGAGTGCTAATTGTGTCTATACTTATAGCGAATGCAGATGCTGTTAAATTTGATGTATGAGATTACAATTATATTATCTGATATGCTAAATCCCACACCAATTTTACCAAATCATACACACAATTGAAAAAAATTATCTCTCTAAAATCTCATCTTCTCCTTCCCCACCCTTTTTCTTTTTCCCTAATTTTTTCATAAAATAACACACACTAAAAACGTTCATATCATTCCAAGTTCGAATTTGAGAAAAACTTCATGTGCTCAAACTAAAATAAAGTTGGAATTTGAGAAAAAAAATCGAATTGATATGAATTTAAATAATTAAAAAGGCATAATGAAATTGAAAATTATTAAATAAACTTAAACTCACTTTTTATGATTATTCACGTGAAAGATTAACGAATTTTGAGTGACTTGGAAAAAATCATCATAGAAAAAAGTTAGAGAGAATACAAGTAGAGAGAGATTTTTTTTTTAAATTTATGTGTGTGATTTAGTAAATTTTAGTGTGGGATTTAGCATGCCCCTTATATTATTACCATCGAATGCAAGATTTTACACAGTAACTATGGAAATTTTAAATTATTGCACGAGATCGATGAGTAGGAAAATAATTTATTGCAGCATGATTTTAAAATTTATTTCCAGTATTTCCAAAGAATTTTGTTATTTTAAATATTGGATTATTGAAATTTAGGATTTTTTAATAATCTTCAACTATTCATTTTTTTTTTTATAAATAAATATAACTTCCATTTTTTATAAATAAATATAAACTTCTATTCAAAATTTCATCCTCCAATTTTTTTTTACGAATGGGAATATGCTCGAGTGTAGATGCTATTATTGAACCGTCAAAGATCAAGGATTTTTTTATACGTTCAGTGGCGAGCCATCATAGGGCCAAAAGGGGGCCATGGCCCCCCAACAATTCTCGAATTCCTATGTTTCATGTACAAAAAAATTAAAAAAATCGCGTATAAGTTAGTTTTTAATTATTCGTTTTCCCATTTCGTACCGACGGATTTGCACCTACGGTTTATTGCTCGAAAAAGAAAAGGAATTCGAAAGTTTGAAACACGTGCAGAATGGACAAAAGCTATTGATGCAAATTGAGAAAATGGTGCACAAAACTCTTCAAAGTCCATTTCTAATATAAGATAATGGTGATTGTTGCCAATTATATAAATTAGTATTCTCGAGAACGATCTAAAGATATAATTAGCTCATGCCCATGTGTAATCTTTAATTGTCGAAAAAACCGCTATGTTAATTAGCAATAAACCCCCTATGTTACGTTTTACAAAGCACACAACTCCTATTGGGTCTTACAAAAATTATGGGGTGTAATTTACAATTTTCTAAATTTATATTATGGGGTATTTTTGACTTGTTCAGGTCAAAAAACATACTCAAGTCGCGAAATCCGCGTGTCTAACATACATTCAGCTCGTAGGAGCCTTATTGGCTTTGACTAGTATCCATAGAGGGACTTTTGCTAATATTTTTAACATGAGGGTTTTTTCTTAGATATTACACAGGTGTGCTTCTTGCAAAAAAAAAAAAAAAAAAAAAAAAAAAAAAAAAAAAAAAAAAAAAAAAACCATGAACTAAAATACACAAATTTAAAGGGCAATTCATAAATTATAACAAAGATTGGAATTTAAAGGGCATTCTCCTTTAGGATGCGCCTTCGAGACGAGACAAATGATGTGCGGTTTATATCCTTCGAAGTCTCTTGCACACAACGAGTTGCATATTTGTTCGCCTTCTTTCGTGACGCAATCGACACCAGAAAAAGTATTATAGCAGTTGCCTATTATCGACCACTTTACATATATGTTGGAACCAATATTAATTTGCCTACTAGCTTCCACATTGCCCGCACACCACCCACACCGGCGAATTAGGGTAAATCACGGTCACCCTCTGAAGTAAGGTTAAATTACGAAAAAAAAACCTTATATTTGGATAATTACAACTACATCCTTAAGTACGAATCTTTTTACACAATCACCCTTATGATACCAAATTCAACGTAATCTTCTAGATTATGTGGAATGATCTCTAGTTTGTACTCGTTTTGTGAAAAAACGCAGTTTCTGATGCGCTCTCTCACACACACACACACACTAATATACACCAATTGCGAGCTAATGTTCGAAACTTGTGGCGTAATCTATTAATTTTACACCAGCTTTTGTGTCGAAAATATCACCGCACGTATTATAGCAATTCCCTATCACCGCTATCTTCTATGATCCGTCGCTCGCGATTTGCCTACATTCCTCCATTTCTCCTTCGATGTTATTCATTGCACTCATTCATTCAAACCAAATTAGATATGCAATTAAAAAAGATATGCAATTAAAAAAAATAGAAAACTTAGTATAAATATCGTATTTGTGAAGTGAATTTCACCGAGTGCGACGAGAAAGAGGGCAAAAGAGAATAATAGAGATTTTCGCCATACTAACTTCGTATAGCTGTAAAACTATTTTCTTTGTACACTTTTGATTTGTAAATAAATATATATATATATCTTCAATCACACGAATTGATACAAACTTCTTAACAAATTCTAGTAATTAAATTTTTACATTAATTGCACATTTGTCTAATTCGCTTTCAATTGGTAATATGTAATAATATTTTGCTATATTTTGTAGGATTAATAACATTTCGCCACTTGGACTTTACCCATTTTTGCTATTTGCCATATTAACTAATAAAAGTTGCAAACGCACACCCAAACTCAGTTTTTTGACGCACATAACCACCTAAGGGGAATATTCCGGCAAATCTTCTAATTTTTCAACGCACGCACGATGCACATGTGAAAGTACAGGGGTTTTTTCGTCTTTTCACCTGAAAATATCATAAGGGGGTGAAAATGAAAGTACCAGGGACTCAATTGAACTTAATTTGAAACTTTCACAAATTCAAAATTAATTGAAACTTTGTGGCTTCATCCTCCATGGGATAAAAACACCCAAGGAAGACCTTTGTTTCAATCCAGAATTGCTAGGACAACAAAAATTGAACTTAAACTTTGTTTAACTAATGTTTCCGGATTCGTAGGGTATTGCTTACTAGAATCATATGGAGTTCGCTTTGATAATTGAGTACTGAATTTTTTGAACTAATTCAATTGGAAGTGAAAAAATATTTGAAATTGACACACATTCCAAATAGGACAGAA